ATTTGTACAGTTTTGAATTCTCACTACCGGAGAATGCTTCCAACCAAATATGGTTGATATCTACCTCTTAGTTCAAGAGAAGAGGTCGTTTGAAGCAACATAAACAAATTACCCCTATTTGGCCCCGCCCCTTGGGGTCCCAGACCCACCATATGTAACATTTTTATCCCCACCACCCAGGGATGCTTCCAGTCAAATTTCGTTAATTTCCAATCAGAGGTTCTGAAGAAGAAGTTGTTTTAAAAAAAACCGTACGGACGACGGACGCCACGGTATGGCGTAAGCTCACCTTGATCCGTCGGACCCGGTGAGCTTAAAAAGGACAAGATCAGGTTTGTTGGCCTTGATAGGTCTGAGGCTGGATACGGGCCAATTCCAAAGAATTTTGTATTTATTATTTTCAATGACGCCCTCTACATATTCTGGGTCGTACCATGGATGGACCTCGGTGTCAAAACCACTAACATGGTGAAGACGGTAATTAAAGGATCGAGCCACTCCAAAATGTCGCTTAAGTGTATTTGTGCCAAAGCTGGGCATCCACTGACAATGGATGGACAGTCTCAATAAATTCAGTGCATAATCTACATTTCATATTTACATTGTGATGCAAAATCACACATTGACGATTTCGAGTGGAAAGTGACTTTCCTGAGCAGCAAACAGAAAGCCTTCTGTTTCACGTTGCAGGACAGATGACTTCATCCAAGTGAAGAACTCTGCAGGAATGCTGATCTTCTCAACACACTGCAGATAAACTCGATGCAGTGGTCGTTCGGATAGCCTCTCCTTGAAAAACTGGGCTGATTTGATATGGGACCTCGCTTGGTTGACACTCATTTCTGTACCGTCCAGCTGTACAGAACCATCAACAGAATCAACATTGACATTGAGATTATGTCCCACATCCTTGAAAATTTAAGACAACTGCGGAATGCCTTGTTTTCATCACGAGTCTTGACATGTTTCACAAGAGAATCATCAGACAAATAAATGTGTGCAAAAGTGCACAATACAATTCTATTATAAAGAGTCTCCACGTTATTCAAACCACGCCCTCCGATTATAATTGGTAAATATAAGCGATTGAGGGAAGAGCGAGGGTGTAGTGATCTATTGTCTGACATGACTCTTTGTGGCTAGGGTGTCAGTACCGTCCATTTCTTGTTTCGTCCAATTAACAACACCAAAAGAATACGAAAGGACGGGTACGGCTTAAGTATTTGTGACTTTGACTTTATTGCGAACGTTCAGCTCTGAACTCGAGATTTTCCTAAGTCTACATTGGTATTCTGACCGAAGTGTTATTGTTATTGGCATTCTTGAGTACGCATAGGCCTGGCCTATTATTATTATTATTATTAGTATTATTATTATACAATTCGGATTAGAAAAGGTCCCAAGCAAACTATGTCTGTTTCGGAGGCGTCTAAATGGATCGGGTGGTCTGGATTGGTGAAATTGATTGAGACATTGCTCATTATACGGTGATAATTAGGAAAAAATAACAACAAAGGATCATGCTTAAATTCAGAAATTGTTTAAATTTGGTGTTATCACGATAATGGAATGAAATTAAGCGACAAAGGAAAGTAAACCGACTATGTTTTTTATTTATTGAAAATTGAAACTGTTGTTTAATTTGATCTAATTAACCATCACTCATTCCTGCAACATTTTGTAATCTGTGGCAAAGTAATCTTGTGTAAATATAAATTGGTTCAGTGAAGATTGGGTAAGAAATGAATTTGCAACCACATAACCCCTACAATTATAATGTTTATAAAGTATTTTTTGGAACAAAAATGCAAATTAATTGTATTTTTTCAAAGTCAGGAAGACTGAGCTACCCATCGGTAGTTGTGTATTATGCGATTTTATTTTTTTAATTTCCAAAGTTTTATATCAAGTTATATCTAAGAAACAAAACCATGCAGAAGTAGTTTTTGAGTGGTGACTAAGCATCAGTACAGTGCATGCATTTGGGGATATAATATCGCAAACTTATGATATTGATCTGAACTGAAAATCAAACATAGGATAAACTCAACTGAGACGTATAGTTTCTTTTGTTCCTCGGTTTATAATGTAGAGTTTATAAATATTATATGTAACATTGCTAACATTTGGTACGGTCTGATGAACATTTCAATCTTCATAAATACTGTTTTGTGATTAAATAAACATATTTAAAAGAGCGGGGATATCGCTGACTTCGTCTTCTTGTAACATGACAAAGAGTATATTGAGTAACCTACTCAAACCTCATCATGACTACCTGGGGACAGGGGATCCGTAAGTACGAGTTACTCCTTGGTCAGTCTCTCATGTTCTACACACAAAAGGTAGTCTACAAAAAGAACGTCATAAGGATTTTATTTCATAATATGCCTCAGCAAACTATCGAGCTGGGAAAGGAATTATAGTCAAGGTGGATTGAAAATGACTGAAATACCTAAATTTATAGCATCTTTAAAAATTTCATGTTTAAAAAGATATTGTGAAAAAAACATTAATTATGACCTTGCTAGTTTTCAGCTGGCTCATATCTACACTTTAGGTGCCAGTTTGCACAAGAATTGGGAAATTGTAAATCCGTTCTGGAAAGATACCCTTATAGCCTGGAGTGACTTTATGCATTCATATGACTTTGAAGTCTTAGAAAAAGCAGAAATTGCTTCCCAACCCATATGGTTAAACCATTATTTTAGAGAACCAGTATTAATTTTTAATGACTGGTTTAAAAAAGGTATAGTTACGATAAAAGACTTGTATGATGAAAACGGATGGATCCCTTTCCCACGTTTACAACAACTTTATGATCTTAAAGGAACTTTTCTCGACTATAACCGTATGTTTTTTAATATTCCAAGAAGTTGGAGACAAAATATTGATAAAAATCTACATTCCTCTTCTAATCTCACAGTATCTCCTTGGATTTATGATCTTACACGTTCTATTAAAGGAACAAAAGTGTTTTATAATAAACTGATAGGGAATTCCCTCCCTCTCCCTAAATCTTGTTTGAAATGGGAAAATCAGCTGGGATGCTCTTTTCCATGGAATCAAATATTCAGTGTATATTGCCATGGGTTAAGGGACACAAAACTCAGGGATTTCCAGTTTAGATTTATTCATAAAGTAATATTTACTAAACGTGAGTTATTAAGAATGAAACTTATTGATAACGATGAGTGTTCTATGTGTCATACTCACAAAGAAAATATTTTTCATGTTTATATCGAATGTCATGTTGTTAAGAATTTTTGGTCAGATTTCTGTATTTACTTGACTCATATCTTGAATAGAAAAATCCTTATAACTGACAACGAGCTCCTCTTTGGTACCTCTGATGTATTAATTAACCATTTGATTGTAGCTGCTAAAAGATTTATCTTTGTCCAGTGTATTAAGAATGAAAATGTTGACTTTGTTGCTTTTAAGAACACAATAAGAAGTATTTATGACGTTGAATATCATATTGCACGTAGAAATAACGACTTCTCTGCCTTTAATAGAAAATGGGCTTTGTTTACTCAACCTGCAAAATAACTTATTCACTTGATGTTTGCAACATAATTTGATGTACCATAAATACTGCATCTTCTTAATTGTATACATAAATATGCCTTCATCTGTACCATGACGTGGATTATGCCTTCATCTGTACCATGATGTGGATTATGCCTTAGGCCTCCTCTGTACCATATCCTTTTGAGAAGTACCTGTATTCATAAAGCTGTATTGCTTTCCGAGTGCTTATGTATCCTGTGTATATGACTGAATAATTTTTTTAAAAAACCCAAAAAACTATCGAGCTGGGAGAAGCTGTATTGTCATCAAATTCTAGCCTAATTTAATGTGTGTTATTTCCTCTAAACTGGAAGAATATGGCAAGAACAACAATGTGTAAGGTAACCAAAAGATCTTAAAACACACTGATTAATTTTTTTAAAAGCTAAAAAAATATACAAATATTCTTGAGAAATCCCTGCTTAGAGCAGAGTCGATTATGCGCTTCCGACTGCATCATGAGCATGTGTTTATGAATTATTATCAAATAGTGATGATTCAAGATGTTCGAGAAAAGGTTACAAACACATTCAAAGGCAAGTCAGTTGTTCTAAACCACCTATTTCCTTATTATCCAATGTGGAACGGAATAAACACGTGAAGCATTAGCTTGTCCCTCAGAAGTGTCGAAACTGTCACCCAAAGTCCCGCCATAGTACCAAACACTGCGCCGTACCTCAGTTGCAGAGCAACACATTCCCAATGTCAGTAACATCTGACCTTTGGCGCCCATTTCGATTCCCAATCCAAATGAAGGATGTGTGGGTTGTTTAGCCAATCAGTTGTCAGTTTTTTCAAGTGGCTCCACTATTCGGCTCCACTAAATGCTTAATTTCGTCAACGGTCAGTTAACAATCGCAGTTTCAGTCCAATATTTGGAAGTATATTTCCATTCTGAAGAAAGGAAAACACAAAGCACAAATGTTCTTCCGACAGTGCAATCTGGGAGAGATTTTTACTATGGGGGAGAGAAAAGATAACAGTTTGCGAATTTACAAATGGACACTATTTCAAACGTTAGTTGTAAAAAGAATAGCAAAGTATGTAACTTATTACTTTTAACTTCTACAATTTATCGTAGAAATTATCGCGACCCAGAGGTATTTTTTGTTGTCATCTGAATAAATTAATGTACAGAAAGCATGACGCATGGGTAGCCAAGAGGTTCAAGCGTTTTGCCAAACACTCGGATTCGATTTCCCACATGGGTACCGTACTTTGCAAAACCACATGTAGGGGGCAGCCCATCGTGATAGAACAGCAAGAATAGGGATAAAAAGGAACCACACAAACGTATACGTTGTTTTTAGCATATAGTGCATTCTGAAATGGCTGAGTAGCTGGTAAATTTTATTCAATTATTGCGGTTACTATGCCCAGGAGATTAGAAACTAGTAGGGCAGCCTCAGACATGAGACTTTACTTACTGTAAGGTGTCAAATTGTCTTTCAACATTTCCTCCGGAAAGGTGAGTTGAGCAGTGGCCAGGCGCGGGGTCACTGCCATCAGTAGATACAGGGATAACGGAAACATCGTGGACCCCAGAGACACCTAATGAAACAAACGATGTGTTAGCAGGATGGCTCTATCTGTACAGAAGTACACAAAGGGGGTATGTTAGCAGGATGGCTCTATCTGTACAGAAGTACACAAAGGGGGTGTGTTAGCAGGATGGCTCTATCTGTACAGAAGTACACAAAGGGGGTATGTTAGCAGGATGGCTCTATCTGTACAGAAGTACACAAAGGGGGTATGTTAGCAGGATGGCTCTATCTGTACAGAAGTACACAAAGGGGGTATGTTAGCAGGATGGCTCTATCTGTACAGAAGTACATAAAGGGGGTATGTTAGCAGGATGGCTCTATCTGTACAGAAGTACACAAAGGGGGTATGTTAGCAGGATGGCTCTATCTGTACAGAAGTACACAAAGGGGGTATGTTAGCAGGATGGCTCTATCTGTACAGAAGTACACAAAGGGGGTATGTTAGCAGGATGGCTCTATCTGTACAGAAGTACACAAAGGGGGTATGTTAGCAGGATGGTTCTATCTGTACAGAAGTACACAAAGGGGGCATGTTAGCAGGATGGCTCTATCTGTACAGAAGTACACAAAGGGGGTATGTTAGCAGGATGGCTCTATCTGTACAGAAGTACACAAAGGGGTATGTTAGCAGGATGGTTCTATCTGTACAGAAGTACACAAAAGGGGTATGTTAGCAGGATGGTTCTATCTGTACAGAAGTACACAAAGGGGGTATGTTAGCAGGATGGCTCTATCTGTACAGAAGTACACAAAGGGGGTATGTTAGCAGGTTGGTTCTATCTGTACAGAAGTACACAAAGGGGGTATGTTAGCAGGATGGCTCTATCTGTACAGAAGTACATAAAGGGGGTATGTTAGCAGGATGGGTCTATCTGTGCAGAAGTACACAAAGGGGGTATGTTAGCAGGACGGCTCTATCTGTACAGAAGTACACAAAGGGGGTATGTTAGCAGGATGGGTCTATCTGTACAGAAGTACACAAAGGGGTATGTTAGCAGGATGGTTCTATCTGTACAGAAGTACACAAAAGGGGTATGTTAGCAGGATGGTTCTATCTGTACAGAAGTACACAAAGGGGGTATGTTAGCAGGATGGCTCTATCTGTACAGAAGTACACAAAGGGGGTATGTTAGCAGGTTGGTTCTATCTGTACAGAAGTACACAAAGGGGGTATGTTAGCAGGATGGCTCTATCTGTACAGAAGTACATAAAGGGGGTATGTTAGCAGGATGGGTCTATCTGTGCAGAAGTACACAAAGGGGGTATGTTAGCAGGACGGCTCTATCTGTACAGAAGTACACAAAGGGGGTATGTTAGCAGGATGGGTCTATCTGTACAGAAGTACACAAAGGGGGTATGTTAGCAGGATGGCTCTATCTGTACAGAAGTACACAAAGGGGGTATGTTAGCAGGATGGCTCTATCTGTACAGAAGTACACAAGGGGGGTATGTTAGCAGGATGGCTCTATCTGTGCAGAAGTACACAAAGGGGGGTATATTAGCAGGATGGTTCTATCTGTACAGAAGTACACAAAGGGGGTATGTTAGCAGGATGGCTCTATCTGTACAGAAGTACACAAAGGGGGTATGTTAGCAGGATGGCTCTATCTGTGCAGAAGCTCACAAAGGGGGTATGTTAGCAGGATGGCTCTATCTGTACAGAAGTACACAAAGGAGGTATGTTAGCAGGATGGCTCTATCTGTACAGAAGTACACAAAGGGGGTATGTTAGCAGGATGGCTCTGTCTGTGCAGAAGTACACAAAGGGGGTATGTTAGCAGGATGGCTCTATCTGTGCAGAAGTACACAAAGGGGATATTTTAGCAGGATGGCTGTATCTGTACAGAAGTACACAAAGGGGGTATGTTAGCAGGATGGTTCTATCTGTGCAGAAGTACACAAAGGGGGTATGTTAGCAGGATGGCTCTATCTGTGCAGAAGTACACAAAGGGGGTATGTTAGCAGGATGGCTCTATCTGTGCAGAAGTACACAAAGGGGGTATGTTAGCAGGATGGCTCTATCTGTACAGAAGTACACAAAGGGGGTATGTTAGCAGGATGGCTCTATCTGTACAGAAGTACACAAAGGGGATATGTTAGCAGGATGGCTGTATCTGTACAGAAGTACACAAAGGGGGTATGTTAGCAGGATGGTTCTATCTGTGCAGAAGCTCATAAAGGGGGTATGTTAGCAGGATGGCTCTATCTGTGCAGAAGTACACAAAGGGGGTATGTTAGCAGGATGGCTCTATCTGTACAGAAGTACACAAAGGGGGTATGTTAGCAGGATGGCTCTATCTGTACAGAAGTACACAAAGGGGGTATGTTAGCAGGATGGCTCTATCTGTACAGAAGTACACAAAGGGGGTATGTTAGCAGGATGGCTCTATCTGTACAGAAGTACACAAAGGGGGGTTTGTTAGCAGGATGGCTGTATCTGTACAGAAGTACACAAAGGGGGTATGTTAGCAGGATGGCTCTATCTGTACAGAAGTACACAAAGGGGGTATGTTAGCAGGATGGCTCTATCTGTACAGAAGTACACAAAGGGGGTATGTTAGCAGGATGGCTCTATCTGTGCAGAAGCTCATAAAGGGGGGTATGTTAGCAGGATGGCTCTATCTGTACAGAAGTACACAAAGGGGGTATGTTAGCAGGATGGCTCTATCTGTACAGAAGTACACAAAGGGGGTATGTTAGCAGGATGGTTCTATCTGTGCAGAAGTACACAAAGGGGGTATGTTAGCAGGATGGCTCTATCTGTGCAGAAGTACACAAAGGGGGTATGTTAGCAGGATGGCTCTATCTGTGCAGAAGTACACAAAGGGGGTATGTTAGCAGGATGGCTCTATCTGTACAGAAGTACACAAAGGGGATATGTTAGCAGGATGGCTCTATCTGTACAGAAGTACACAAAGGGGGTATGTTAGCAGGATGGCTCTATCTGTACAGAAGTACACAAAGGGGGGTTTGTTAGCAGGATGGCTCTATCTGTGCAGAAGCTCATAAAGGGGGTATGTTAGCAGGATGGCTCTATCTGTGCAGAAGTACACAAAGGGGAGTATGTTAGCATGATGGTTGTATCTGTACAGAAGTACACAAAGGGGGGTATGTTAGCAGGATGGTTCTATCTGTACAGAAGTACACAAAGGGGGTATGTTAGCAGGATGGCTCTATCTGTGCAGAAGTACACAAAGGGGGTATGTTAGCAGGATGGCTCTATCTGTACAAAAGTACACAAAGGGGGGTATGTTAGCAGGATGGGTCTATCTGTACAGAAGTACACAAAGGGGGGTATGTTAGCAGGATGGCTCTATCTGTGCAGAAGTACACAAAGGGGGTCTGTTAGCAGGATGGTTCTATCTGTACAGAAGTACACAAAGGGGGGTATGTTAGCAGGATGGTTCTATCTGTGCAGAAGTACACAAAGGGGGGTATGTTAGCAGGATGGCTCTATCTGTGCAGAAGTACACAAAGGGGGGTATGTTAGCAGGATGGTTCTATCTGTACAGAAGTACACAAAGGGGGTATGTTAGCAGGATGGCTCTAGGATGGGGTCGGTGTGGGGGGATGATGCACCCAACGCAAGAATACACTCCATATGATGTGGCATATTTTTTAGGTTTAATGTCGCTCTGAACAATATTTGAGTTATGTGACTTTAACGAGAACGGGTAGACTAATCACCATATTGTTTCATGTTATTTTGTTTTGACCCAGTTTAAGTAATGCACGATATGTGTTACATTTCGTTATTATAAAATGGAGATGGCTTCAGTCTAACCAGCGGCTTCTCAGTCACCGTCAAGCTTAAGGTTTCGAGAGAGAGAGAGAGTTCCAAATTCAAAGGTTGAATCTACAGATAACCTTGCTCTACATTGAAAACAGTGTGCTTATCTCCCAAATGATCAAGACTGTTAGTTTCAGTTTCATTAAAGTTTGTTTGCTTGTTTGTTGTTTAACGCAGCACTCAGCAATATTCTAGCTATATGACGGCGGTCTGTAAGTAATCGAGTCTGGACCAGACAATCCAGTGATGAATTGATGAGTGACGGAATTGGGATCGATGACATGCATCAACCAAATCAGCGAGCCTGACCACCCGATCCCGTTAGTCGCCTCCTACAAGCAAAGCCGCCTTTTACAGCAAGCATGGGTTGCGGAAGACCTATTCTACCCCGGATCTTCACGGGCCTTATAGTAATGTTCACGGCTGTGTCAAAACGTTTGTATGTTATTATTTGTTTCACAAAATATTACGTAATAAAATGATTAACCTACCTTACCTGTGGGGCAGGATTTACCTAGTGAACTCGAGACAGGCTAAAGTACTGATCGCAATTACCCCACTTTATCTAGAAATATACCTGTCTAGTGAAGATTGATCGTTAAGGTGTTTGATGCAGATATTACATGTCCATCAGGCAACAGCCCAGGGGCACTTCCTGTCAAGTGAGCGTTGCTTCCCATTTATATCCAAGTGTCTGGCTCAAAGACTGACTGAACTCATCTAAGCCTTGTATTTCCTAGAAGTGATCGCTAGCTTGGCAAGTGTCTGTATTTGCTTATGGACAGGTCTGTTAACTACAATTTTCTTATGAACAAGATCGGATTAAGGAATCAATAGGTTTGCTGATGTCTGTAAGATGTCTCGGTAACAGTTTCTAAATTTATTATTCTGCGGGGTATTGACTAGCAACAAGCTTGGAAGTTGAAGCTACTGGCTTAGCCGGGCGTATGGCTAGTCTCTGGAGCATTATCAGCGACACTACCCAACTTGCCAAGAATCTTACGGTCAACTGAACATACTTCATGGTAGCTAAGTGCAATCAGGTGTTTTTTCTCACCTGTAGCATGTTGATGCAACAGACACGTGGAGATTCCGGGTAAGAGTATAGGTCTCCAGCAGCGACAAACGGGATGGGAGACTCGCTGACTTGGATGATTGCATGTCAACGTATCCAAACTGCGTAGGTTGATGCTCATGTTGACAATCACTGCATTGTCTGGTCTGGACAATTAGAGACAGTCGACATGCAGCTGGAATATTGCGGACAACCAACACAAACAAAACAAATGTTGATGCAACACCTTATTCATACCTGCACCAGGCGTCTGGATATACCTCAATCTTGGCAACAAGAATTCGTGGAAAGTAATGAAATATCCAAGTGAAAGTGCTGAAATCATACGCTATTTGGGTGTGTGGCCTTAAGCTACCAGTGTATGTAAAATCTTTTCAATGGCTTAGTCAATTCAATTTCAATGACACAAATGACGTGTGACTGAAATAAATAAATAAAATAATTCAAATCTACCATGCCCACATCATACTGATTCTTTTACATGAAATACTTTTTTGACCCATTTAACAAATCTGATGTTTTAATTGAATGAAATATGTTTCTTGTCTAAGAGCAATCATTTATTACCAGGGTTATCAGAATACATCAAGGCATTCCTCATTACAAAATATCCCGAAAACCAGATCGTCAGACTCAATAGCAAGGATGCGTTAGGAAGCGATCAGCCACAACTCAAACATCAGTCAAGAAAAACTCAAAAGTGTTGCTATTTCTGTTAATCCTACAAACATAACATTGCATACATTGTTAAGTCTGTGAAACGACCTGTGATATTGACGTTGTGAATAATTAAAATATCAAATAATAGCTGTCACTAGCTTTTTATGACTAACATCCTGTTTGGATACAAAACCCTTTGCTTCCCTTGGACATAAGAGAATACATCACAAATAACAAGCATGAAATACTCATATCCCCCGCCAATATGACATGTCCGGTTGTGTGCAATGCATTAGCTCCTGTGAACTTGGCCTTTTTGTAAATGGCCTAATTGCAGCACTAAAAAGGTATTACTGGTGTTGTTTTGCCATCTGCAGTTTATGATAGAATATGTAACTGTATTTGTAATGAGTAAGGATGAGACGTATGGACGAACAACTTCTTTGTTACAATTAGGAGCGATGGTTTCGGTGTAGGTTCTAACACTGTTATCAAGCAAGTGAAGTACAGAGTATGGTTGACAAGAATATATACAGGATAAGAGGATGTGTTTATACAGTTGTGTAGGTTTAAGATCAGTTACATTGTTGTATTTGTAATGAGTTGTGTTTCTGCATGAAGTTAGTCAGTGAATGCAACAACCATGTCCATGACACTTTTGGAGGAACATACACACAAGCAATGCAGAACTTACCAACATGAAAGGAAATGTATTCAATACTGCGATATGACATTATGTGCCACGTTTGGTGAAGAAATATGGTACGGTTTTCAAGATCTCCTCCGGAAACGAGGACTACCGCCATTTTCGGTCTAAGTCAAAGTCGTTGCCATGGAAACTCGAAAAATATATTTTTTAAAAATCCCAAACTATCAAAAGGCACCAGTTCACCACTAGACCTATCTATGTGCCATGTTTGGTGAAGAAATATGGTACGGTTTTCAAGATCTGCTCCGGAAACGAAATGTGACGGACGGACGGACAGACGGAAGGCACCCAATCCCATATCCCCCTTCCACTTCGTGGCGGGGGATAATAAGGGATTAATCTCCTGAGTCGACAACGGAAGGCATGCGATCGTTGAAACCGAGCAGCGCGACAAAAAATGGGACCAAGATTTTGGCGGATGTTTTCGTTTGGTTGACGACTTCGCTTTTCATTTTTTTATCGTCTGTTGTACGCAATTTCCGTTTTTCAAATTCGATTTCGGTCAGGCATTGGAGATTAAGCATGCCCTAAAGTATTAAAATTTGCTAAGTTGCTATTTTCACCATACTTGTTCTTCAACGTGATTGCTGTAAAGAGTTACATCGACCGTGACATCCAGATCATTCACTTGAGGTGCATGTAGAGCTGCAAGAATGCATACGCAGTGATTCCAGCTCGAGCAGGTGTGACACGCCTCTGGGGTAGTATTTAACAATATTTAAATGATATCATGGCATAGAATGTGGGAAGGCCAACCTGATGCAGATCTTAAACGTCTTACCATTTTGGTGGACGCTTAGGAAGCATCTGGTGTAGTTTCTGTTAATTTGTTTGTTGTTTAACGCCACACTCAGCAATATTCCAGCTATTTGATGGCGGTCTGTAAATAATCGAGTCTGGACCAGACAATCCAGTGATTGACATCATGAGCATCGATCAACGCAACTGGGATACGATGACATGGCATAATACCAAGTCAGCTTGCCTGACCACCCAATCCCGTTAGTCGCCTCTTACGGCAAGCATGGGTTGCTGAAGACCTCTTCTACCCCTATCTTCACGAGTCTTCTGTTAGTTGGTTGTGTAATGTGGTATATTTTCGTGTATTTTTGTACATTATACGTTTAAACCAATGGCAAAAACTTCACATAAAATGGATAAAAACAATTTGCATTATTTGTCACGTTTAACGGCGCAGTCAGCAATGCTCGACTTATATCGGGACAGCTGGTGTAATTCCCCGCGTCTGGACAATACAAGTCGGTGACTGAAACCGTGAGCATCAATCCATGCCAGTTGTCTCCGCCGAGACGTACGGTATCGGAGTAAGAGACGTCACAATTAGATGCAAAATGGCTGGTGATTCGGTTGTGTTAACAGCGAGGGGTGTTTTTGTTGAAATAAACGAATGTCAAAGGTAAATATTTCTTTGATTTTAGTGAGGTTGCTTTTGAATCCATTAGTGCTTGTACTGTATGTAATGTATGTAGAATAGATTCTTCAGTGGAAAACGGAAGACTAAACTGACGCGTAACTGCCGACATTGGGGAAATGCAGACTCACCCTTGGTCATCGTGGAACTGCAGTTGGACTCCCTTGTCTCTATTTATAGGACAGTTTTACCCCATGTAAATATTAATGTTGTATTTTGGGTGCAGCTATTTCAGTTTAATACTGCACAATTTACAGACAGTATCTTACTATGGTATAAACATATTTTGAGCCTCTCAGTTTCCATGAAACGTGTCAATGCTTGCATTCTCAGTTAACATCAGCTAAACACGCATTACAAGTATCTGACACTATGATAGATCACTGTCTTGGTGGGAGAATAAATGTCTGTCACAATGAGTTACAAATATTACGAATAAAGTATAGTTCTCGTGACAGCTGTCAATCCAAACCCAGTTCATGCACCAGGGGATTAATCACCTTTTCCTTGTAGACTGTTAGTTACATTTCTGGCGATATTTAAGGGACACACAATACAAGTACATACAGAGGCATATTTATTCTGGCATACCTCCAAGGGCTGGCTTTTAAGTGGAGAAAACTCACTGGTATAAGAAGTGAAACAGTCAAGCAAAATTATTTGATATATGATGGTAATACTGCAATGGTTTTGCAGACATCCTTTGTTGGTACCTGAGACACATGTGAAAGTTCATCAATGACTTAACAAACATCAAACCAGCTGACAGAAAACTATACTCCAAAACAATATCTTTCAACAGTTTTATTGTAAACATTACATAGTCATGTTTATATGTTCACTGACATGTTACAATATGATGAAATGAGTCCTTACGATGGTTGACAATGAAGGTCCATTCAGGTAAAAATAAACAAATCTGTGATAAACATCTCCGGAAGTATTTTATAGTTCATTTACTGGTATTTATGTTGGATAGACATTTCATGGTATTAAAACTATGACTTGGACCTAGTTACTCTGTTTTGGGTGACAAGATTAAAGGGAACATGTGCAAACATATTTTCCAGCATTATTACTTGAGATCAGTCATATGGTGATAAACAATTGCCAAAGATGTATTATTTGGTTCCCCCTACAATATCAACACAAAAGTATTGAATTTATCAGGGATGTAAGCTAGTGGAAATTACCTCAAGCCAATAAAATTATAATTGCACTTGCCCGTAGTGCCTGTATGTTCCCTGTAAATGATGTATTATCCTCTTGATTCTAGCTGTCAAATTTCTGTATAGACATTTGACACAACCTCTCTAGTCTTTCTCGTAATGAATAATGTACGTGATTTCTGAATTCACCCGATCTATACATTCTGTCTTAATATTTCAAAGTATTTATGGGACAAAGTCCTCTTATTTCATAAGGACTAGGAACCAAAATCCCACGTGCCCTGAGTGAGTGAATTAAATGGGCTTGTGTCTTTTTTCTGAGGTAATTTCAATTCCTGATTTATTACTCAAAATATGAAGGCCAGCTACCTCAACTGTTTTGACAACTTATTAACATAATGTTAAGTATATCCAAAAGATCATATATCACCTAACAACTACAAGCAATAGATGTGAAAATATAAGGAATACCTGCATATGTTTACTAACAAAAAAATAAGTGAACTATTGACATGAATGTAGGTAATGTTGAGGTGTACATTTACAATACCGTGGCATTGGAACTGAATGGAACTAGTATCTAAACACAATCAAAATTCACATATGCATGAACACCATGTGCTGCACGTGCACACAGAAGCCAAAGCGCGTGTGCACCAATAAGCAAACTCACAATCATTAATGCTGTTAAAAATGACTCCGAGAAGGTATCTCTATGATCAGACACAAAAGCGAATTGTTGGTATGACAGCTGTGTGTGTAGATATCCCAAGTTGCCGAATGTTGCCTGGGAGTTGAAAGCCTAACAAAATAACAGTTAGTCAAGATCGACCCATTACGCAATAGATTCAAATCTGCTCCTGTAATCAATAAAGCATTCTGTACAATAACAGGGAGGCGAATTTCAACATCTATCATGAAAAATCGGCTCTTTGCAGCCCGTCTGAAAGCATGTGACCCTAACAGCTTACCACAGGCGGAAAAAATAGGGGTGGGCTAGGCAACACCAGGGACAAATGCGAGCCAATGGTGTTACACCATGTTTACAGATGTCAGACGTGCGGCGGCATAGCTGCGACCGGTATGCCAAGAAAACAATTCTTGACCATGATCGGTATGAGGATGGTGGTGTTCTTTTGTCGGGTGATACTACACATGACAGGCGAACTGATTTGGTTATTGTGAATGGACTTTTGACTGGCCAGCAATATGTCCTATCATTGTTCCATTCGCTAGAATTATTCGTAGGAACTTCGAACTGCAAGATGACAATGCCTGATCACATCTTGCCCATGTAGTCACTGATTATCTCCGACAAGGCACACGGACATTGGACTGGCCCGCTAAGTCCCCTGACATGTCCCCAATAGAGCATCTGTAGGATATCCTCGGGCAGAGAGTACGCCAGAGACCCAGCACCCGCCAACGTGGCCAAGCTTGGGGTAGCTCTTCATGCGGAATGGTGGGCAGCCCGAAATGAATTTTAGACATTTATCATCATTACGCCTTAAATATGATTTCATCAGTTACCTTATATTTTGTTGGTAGCATACTTTATTATTCTGTTATTCTGAGCTTGCTCTAACATTAGAGCAATTGTACCAAAGTATCTGGCAGTTATACCACTACTTCTTACCATGACTTTGACAAATGGCCACTGACCTCTGATGTGGAAGGAATTGAACCAAGATAAAAGGTTTCAATGTAAATGAAAAAGCTAGTACCTTAACAAACTGAAAAAAACATTTTCAATAGTGGCTTTGACCTTTTCAAAGCAGGTACATATTTGGAGAAAGTACATGCCAAGGACTTTACTTTACTAGTTATGACACCATACTCCTTAATGCATTCACTGCTTACCTTACCACAACAAAAGACAGCTCTCAGCGATGGTCTTGGGTGAAAAAAAAAAGTTTCTGTTTTCAACTTTTGCTTTTTGCATGGACCATAGCTGCTGTCATGTGACCTTGTCGGCAAGTTACCTTCCTCACATCACTGCCTGTCGCCCAAGCTTAAAAACAATCTTTTGAGGTTTCTGTAGCCAAAGCGGGGAGGCAAGTCTGCGACAGGTGGGTCCTTAGACCTATTAATGCAGGATAAGTATACAAATGTAAAAACAAATGAGATTTTACTAATTTTTTTTACTTATCCTGCATTACTCCTTAATGCATCTGTATCGGACGGTATACCTTCAGATGTCCAAAACCTCAATGATTCACACCCCAACAAAATGACTCATGTTTATCAATAATCTGTGAGGCAGAAAAAGTACAGAATAACGCTGTAACAGTAGGGTTAGTTCCATCTTATTTACAGAAAGAACATAGGAAATAAAGGGTAACTTCTGTACACACTTGGTAATAAGGATGACAGCGAAAGCTAAAATCTTTACCTACTGTGTCATCCAGCCAAAGCCGGACAAAAAAAAACGTGTCTTCATTTCTTCCACTGGGCGTGTCTCATACGACGGGAAGTAGACTGGCTCTGTATAGGGCAAGGTCATTATTTGTGTGGAGGGTTGGTTACCTCCAGGGCTACTACCAGAGGGCCAAAACTGTTCACGCCTTTGATGTCTTCAAGAGCAGCATCACGAAGATAATGACAACTGTGTTGGACCTAAAAAAGCATCCTTCCATGATCGTTTTAATGGAACAATTACTATGTAATGCCATGGTAGAGGCTAACGCCTTGATCTGGTGAGGATTATTCGGTGGATCAAGTTAGGCGATTTCATAAGCCTGAAGGATAACCATAGATATATGGTGCTGCGACTAAACCTGGGTCGTGGACGTAAGGGATACAGGTATGAACAACCATTTCCTTGAATCACGCCTAGTTTTGGAGCGGTGGATGAAAACTTGAAGGGCGCGCACCGGGCACAAGAGGAGATTACCCTCATCTTTAACTCAATCACAATCGTAGAAATTGGTGGGATAGTTAAGGAACCATCAGGATGGCCTAGTAGTTGATCTTTGCTATAAAATCCCAGCACAACCCGAAATGTACTGCTCCGTGCGTACAATGCTCAAAACGGACCCGAGTGATGTCAATTGCATTGTAAATCGCTCACCTGCACCACAATGGCTTATGCCAAGAAAAGTATTGTTTCCTTGGTGAGGTCATAAAATGAGGATGCGTTGAGGGGCTTGAAGGTAGGCCCGCGCAAACCTCGAAGTACTGCATTCCAATCCCATGCAGGGTATTCTGATCGTCAAGCCTGAAGGAGCGTAGTAGGGCCTGTATTTCTAAATTAATACATGGTTTCCCTCTATCTCTCTAAAGTGTGAAGAACTTGTATACATTTCCCAGTTCAGACTCCATATCATGTACCATGGTTATGGCTATGCAAGTGTAATGAAACATGCATCATGGGAACAATGTTAACAAAAAACAACAATGCAGCATCATTTTGTCATTTTAGAAGATGCACATCTAGAATTTTCTCAAAATGATTTTTGTGTGTGGATTAGATGTTTTATGAAAACTACATTATTATCATTATAACGGAGTCACGCGCGCATATTTCTTTAGTCCGTTTCAGACTGTCATCATTGGACTCAATAAATGTGAACTTCCTTTTTTTGTCTCCTGTAAACTTGTTGATAGGATTCCTTGTGACTGAAATACTTCAAACCACAGGTAGGGCAATCGGTAGTTACTCGATATTTCAATAACAAAAGCCTGTGAAAAATTATATCCTTTTTTAACAGGCAAAAAGCAGTTTTCTAGCATTTCCAACAGTACTTTAGTATCATACTTTAGTATCATACTAGTAATACAAGAGGCGAAAAAATGTACGCTTTTAGCCCTTCCCAGGGGGCCAAACCAGCAGATCTGGGAGCGGGAGACATACCTCATAGTGGTTTTGGTGCATCTCAAACAGGTCAATGTTTGGTTGTCCAATCACCAGTTGGAACGCCACGTAGTGAAGTTTCCACTCCATGGGAACCACGTGTCTGTCTGGCTGGAATAGGTCGTTGGTCAGGATGTTCCAACACCAGGGGATGTGCTGGACTATGAATTTTAGTCCCAGATGATCCACTCGATGAAAGAGTGAGTGAGTATGGTTTTAAGCCGCTTTAAGCAATATTCCAACAATATCTTGGCTGGGGACACCAGAAATGGGCTTCACACGTTGTACCCATGTCGGGAATCGAACCCGGGACTTCGACATGACAAGCTAACGCTTTAACCACTTGGCTACCTGATCACCCCACTAGATGAAAGAACCTGAATGTCTGCTACAGAAGGAGGTGAGTGAGTTGTCTCTTGATTGCGCAGGCACCACACCACCGTACTGTTGTCGGTGGATATTGTGAGTTGGGTGGACTGTAGCTGCTCCTGCCTATGTGAGATGGTCAGAATGTGCGTTTCGAAACTCTAGCTTGTCAATGTGCCAGATTGATAGCTGTATACAGGTCTTGGCGACTGATGTGCGCAATCCCTGCAACATTTGCCACTGACAAGAGTGTATGCTGACAGCTGAGCATACAACTGCTGCTCAGCCGAATAAGTAGGTGGAACAGCACTTAGCTGATCATGCGTCGCCCTGAGGCTGATGTTATCGTAGACGGGCTTGTTGGGAAGCAACGTGAGATGGGCGCCGGGGTTGCAGGGACCGTAGCACTGGAAGCCCTTTACTCCTAAAAATTAGAGGTAGGTACTAAACTCACAGTGTCCCCCACAATGTTGAATTTGGAGGAGGTTGAATGTCTGCAGTCACTTTTACCGAATCCATATTACCAACTGAAGATAATGGTTGCGTAGTTATGACAGGCTGTGACAATCTTCCTCGCAACACGACGGGACTGCTGCAAAATTCGTTTGTGAGTAACCTGTCTATAAATAGCTTGGTGAGAGAGATGAACAAAAATTACATCTAAAGTTTGGAGAGCAAATCTGTGTGCAAGCCTAACAGCATGGATGAGGAAGGTTTTAGTACACAGCGCAAGCATATGTTATGCAAATAGAGAGTTGAAAAATTGCCATAAAATTATACCATTATCTATGGGAAAATATGTTACGAATTGAAAGTGTACACAATGAAATGATACATGCAAACTCTATGTAACGCCAAAGCTACCAGTATTTAAAAACACATAAAAAAATTATATATATGTAGCTAAGAATTGCAAACAATTTGACCACCCCTGCAGATAAACAATTGTAACACAAATTCAAAATGGCGGGAAAGTCTTTGTACACTAAAATCACCCCCATATTAATACACAAAATAGTGAAGGTAATATGAGTGAGTGAGAATGGCTTTACGCCGCTTTTAGCAATATTCCAGCAATATCACGGTGGGGGACACCAGAAATGGGCTTCACACATGGTACCCATGTCAGGAATCGAACCCGGGTCTTCGGCGTGTCAAGCAAACGCTTTAACCACGAGGCTACCCGACTGCCCGAAGGTAATATGAAAAGAATACATCACCCATCACAGATATAATTTAGAGTAACAGCCGAAGCTAAGGGTCTAAAAAAATCCAATTTGATGAGCTCAGCCAAGAGACGTCTTTGCTGTTACGAGACAGGCAGTGATGTGAGGAAAGTGACTTGTCATCAAGGGCACTTGACAGCAGCGATGGTCCATGCAAAAAGTTGGAGTTGTAAACAGAAACATCTTTTTTCACCCAAGACCATCGCTGAGCACTGTCATTTTGTTGTAAGGTAAACAGTGAATGCATTAAGGAGTAATGCAGGATAAGTAAAAATTCAACTTGATTAACATTTCTGCTGACCTTGACCATCGAACCTTTGTAAAAATCACCAGTGGTTGATTAATTCAGTGCAGTTCGTATTTCAAGGGCCAGCTTAAAGACAACAGGCTTAAACAACAGAAAGGACAATTCCCAGCATAGCTATTTCATTGGGACAAGAACAGAGTCTAAGTCAATTAAAATTCGAAATCAATGTCTCCAATTCATTTATCACCACTCATTCCTTTCTTAGGAACAGCTGGAATCAAACAATTTCTGTGTCCCTTTCAATTCCAACAAATTTCAGCTGTTCAGTTGGTCCATATCTGAAAAGTAAAATGTGCAAAGCATTTGTCAATATTTTGATACCAACCCTAAACACTACAAAAGATCTTTCCATCTATATGTGTTATCTATTTCACAAATTAAAAGAGTACTTTAGACCAAAAAACCCCAAGATTGTCAAATTGTTAGTGGGTCCTTTTCACAACTCACTGGCCTTGCTACAATTATCAGTTGGGGCTACTGATGTATAACAACCTTTCCATGATCTATCAACTGTAAACAACTCAATTTACATAACATATTTAACTGGGCCAAAACTATTTCAGTCTTGAAAAATTAGGGTTTACTAATTCAGCAGGTCTGACGCAACAGCTGATAGATAGACAACATAGCTGATAGATAGACAACACAGCTGATAGATAGACAACACAGCTGATAGATAACATAGCTGATAGACAACACAGCTGATAGATAACATAGCTGATAGACAACACAGCTGATAGATAACACAGCTGATAGACAACATAGCTGATAGATAGACAACACAGCTGATAGATAACATAGCTGATAGACAACATAGCTGATAGATAGATAAAATAGCTGATAGATAGACAACACAGCTGATAGATAGATAAAATAGCTGATAGATGGACAACACAGATGATAGATAACATTGCTGATAGACAGATAACACAGAGCTGATAGATAACATAGCTGATAGACAACAGCTGATAGACAGATAAGAACTCCTGATAGATAGACAACATAGCTGATGGAATAAAAACTGTACTTTGATCAAAGGCAGGGAAGTTAAATTTTTGGGACTAAAACACTTGGCTGTGAGAATGAGACTGCATGGTCAAGTCAAAGAGGTCTAAAATGTCTGCAGGGCAACCATGTGTTTTTTCTACTTATGTTACAGGTACTATCTATTTACCATGTGCGCCTTAGCTTAGATAAAAATGTCATTTACCATTTCAGTTATATCCACAATAATGTATCTAAATGAAAAATTGCTCTTCATGATATATTTATACAAATCAAAAGTGATTCCAGCAAGATAATATGTGTTTTCTTGGTGTCATAGTGTTTGTTAAGGAAGAGAATTTATGGATGTCAACTTCTTTATAACAAGGTCCACAACATTTAAGAGTACATACTTACTCATTCATTAGGTGAACAAAGAGAAGCAGAGAACATATATATATACATATGGACTTGTAAGAACAAAAGTAATAAGATAACAAAGGTGGAAACTGAACAAGTTAATTGGCACTGATAGGTGATAGTGAGGGACAACTCGAAGCCAGGACTAACATTATCACTGATAGGTAATAGACAATTGGCAAACGGGAGGCTGGGGGTAATTAGCACTGATAGGTAATAGACAATGGGCAAACGGGAGGCTGGGGGTAATTAGCACTGATAGGTAATAGACAATGGGCAAACGGGAGGCTGGGGGTAATTAGCACTGATAGGTAATAGACAATGGGCAAACGGGAGGCAGGGGGTAATTAGCACTGATAGGTAATAGACAATGGGCAAACGGGAGGCAGGGGGTAATTAGCACTGATAGGTAATAGACAATGGGCAAACGGGAGGCAGGGGGTAATTAGCACTGATAGGTAATAGACAATGGGCAAACAGAGGCTGGGGGTAATTAGCACTGATAGGTAATAGACAATGGGCAAACAGGAGGCTGGGGGTAATTAGCACTGTTAGGTAATAGACAATGGGCAAACGGGAGGCTGGGGGTAATTAGCACTGTTAGGTAATAGACAATGGGCAAACAGAGGCTGGGGGTAATTAGCACTGATAGGTAATAGACAATGGGCAAACAGGAGGCTGGGGGGTAATTAGCACTGATAGGTAATAGACAATGGGCAAACAGGAGGCAGGGGGTAATTAGCACTGATAGGTAATAGACAATGGGCAAACAGAGGCAGGGGGGTAATTAGCTCTTTCAACACCGTAGGCCGGTTATCCGGCCAAGAAGCATCGAGTCCCCAGACACCGCAGGCCGGTTATCCGGCCAAGCCGTAGTCACGTCAAAATAGTACTATATTTTTATGGACCTACCTGTAATATCATTCATTTATTAAATCTATGACATTTCACAATGTCTGAAATACATATTCCATTTCAATTTAAATTTTTTTATCGTTTAATTAAAAAATTATTCACTATTTCCCGCGATTTTATTGAAAATAAAATTCTCGGACACACATTTCGACAACGGGTCCACATCGAACACGTCAAATAGGAAAATAAAGACGTTTTAAACAAATCTTTAAATATATTATACAAAGTAATATATAAAATCAACAAAAATATATCTAAAAGTAATCAAACTTACATCTAAATTATTATTTTCATCTTTTCGTGCGATCGCGTGTAATGTAAGTCAAATGACATCTCGGCTTTCGTCGCCTTGAATTCTCGGCTCGGACACGATGTTTAATGCAAAAATATATGCATGAAAAATCTTTGTCACAGCTCGTAACCTAGCACGATACATTCACGAAGTTCCATATTTTTAATATCTATCGTGATTTCCTGCTCAAAACGTTCAGAATAACACGATTTAACAAAATTCTTTCGCAAACTTCTGTAATTTATCGAACACGAGCTTGGTATCACAGCTGTAATTTGATTGACTGCCTTAGGTCACGTGCTCAAAATTGACCAATCACGAAACTTGTAGCAGATTTCAGCAAGAAAGCGTCATTAGAAACCAATTTTAATCCAATGAAATCGCTTGTTATAACTACGGAAAAAACCCAGTCGATGTTACGAGCGTGTAGATGAAGGAATAAGCTTTCCAGCGATGTGTCATATGCCATTCTTCGACGAACGTGTTATTCATACGAAACCTCGAAAACTGGGGTATTTCTTCATTTTACTGAGCGGACAGTCGCTGTTATCGGGAAATGGGTGATGACAGAGACTATTTATAATTCTTTTTAAAATGATTTTCCAATAACGTAAACAATGAAAATAAAATAGAAATAGGTACGAGGATATTATGAAATCATATATTTGCCGAAAATCGTCAAGTTTTCGCTTCTTTGGTCCTTAATCTGGATGTTAACAACGTGTTAGCGTACATTTTTTATTTACAACGAATTTAATTAAGTTGTAAATGCATTATTTTAAATAATGTGAAAAACATAACTTTCATATTTATGAACCATAGGATCAGACCTTTCAAATGGTGTATAACATGTAGTAGCAAATATATTTTACAAGCAGGTATTTTCTTTGATAAATGTTGGCTTCATCTATCACACAAGAGCCTCTGGGAACTCGGTGTCCCAGCAGTAAACACTTCTGGTTGACTGGTGTTGAAAGAGTTATCACTGATAGGTAATAGACAATGGGCAAACGGGAGGCAGGGGGTAATTAGCACTGATAGGTAACAGAAAATGGGCAAACAGAGGCAGGGGGGTAATTAGCACTGATAGGTAATAGACAATGGGCAAACGGGAGGCAGGGGGTAATTAGCACTGATAGGTAATAGACAATGGGCAAACGGGAGGCTGGGGGTAATTAGCACTGATAGGTAATAGACAATGGGCAACGGGAGGCTGGGGGTAATTAGCACTGATAGGTAATAGACAATGGGCAAACGGGAGGCAGGGGGTAATTAGCACTGATAGGTAACAGACAATGGGCAAACAGAGGCTGGGGGTAATTAGCACTGATAGGTAATAGACAATGGGCAAACAGGAGGCTGGGGGTAATTAGCACTGATAGGTAATAGACAATGGGCAAACAGGAGGCTGGGGTTAATTAGAACTGATAGGTAATAGACAATGGGCAAACAGGAGGCTGGGGGTAATTAGCACTGATAGGTAATAGACAATGGGCAAACAGAGGCTGGGGGTAATTAGCACTGATAGGTAATAGACAATGGGCAAACAGAGGCTGGGGGTAATTAGCACTGATAGGTAATAGACAATGGGCAAACAGGAGGCTGGGGGTAATTAGCACTGATAGGTAATAGACAATGGGCAAACAGGAGGCTGGGGGTAATTAGCACTGATAGGTAATAGACAATGGGCAAACAGGAGGCTGGGGGTAATTAGCACTGATAGGTAATAGACAATGGGCAAACAGGAGGCTGGGGGTAATTAGCACTGATAGGTAATAGACAATGGGCAAACAGGAGGCTGGGGGTAATTAGCACTGATAGGTAATAGACAATGGGCAAACAGGAGGCTGGGGGTAATTAGCACTGATAGGTAATAGACAATGGGCAAACAGGAGGCTGGGGGTAATTAGCACTGATAGGTAACAGACAATGGGCAAACAGAGGCAGGGGGGTAATTAGCACTGATAGGTAACAGACAATGGGCAAACAGAGGCTGGGGGTAATTAGCACTGATAGGTAATAGACAATGGGCAAACAGGAGGCTGGGGGTAATTAGCACTGATAGGTAATAGACAATGGGCAAACAGAGGCAGGGGGGTAATTAGCACTGATAGGTAACAGACAATGGGCAAACAGAGGCTGGGGGTAATTAGCACTGATAGGTAATAGACAATGGGCAAACAGGAGGCTGAGGGTAATTAGCACTGATAGGTAATAGACAATGGGCAAACAGAGGCAGGGGGGTAATTAGCACTGATAGGTAACAGACAATGGGCAAACAGAGGCTGGGGGTAATTAGCACTGATAGGTAACAGACAATGGGCAAACAGAGGCTGGGGGTAATTAGCACTGATAGGTAATCAGAGCTACAGGTGAGCTACAGGTAAGCTACGTATTTGCATAAAATGCCCCCCAAAACTATCCAAAACCCAATTACTTTCAATTAACTTGCGTACAGAAATGCAGGCATTAACTCAACTGTTTGAAAATAGTAGCATAAATACCCAATGAAGCGATTTGAGCATGCATACAACAGAGCTAATTTCCGAAACACAATTTCGAGCTTATTTACTTTCTGAGTCAAGACTATATTAAGAACCCTTGTATACATCTAAAACATTACTTCATTTTTTTATTTGGAAATCTCAAAAACCCAATAGAGTGATGAATAGACGAGTGAAAAGGTATTGGTTACCCAATGAAAAATGTAATAACCCAATTAAAATAAAAACCTTCGGGTAAAAACTCAATTGCTCAAAATGTTATCACCAACCTACCATAAACCGTGACCAGGGAACCTATCCGCCCAGTGCTTGGGACTTACTAATTTGATTATTGTCTGTCCAAATTATCCAGATGGCTTCTATTACCAATCACTGCTATAGTTACCCCCTGCCTCCCGTTTGCCCATTGTCTATTATACCTATCAGTGATAATGTAAGTCTAGCTGGCTTCCATCGCTATCACCAAACAGCACTAATTAACTGTTAAATGTTGGCTTCCATTTGTCTATTGCTAATCACCTATCAGTGCCAATTAACTGTTTGCTTCCTTTGTTAGTTTCCACCTTTGTTCTCTTATTATTTTTGTTGTTCTCACAGGTACACATATTTGTTCTTGCAGTCATAGCATTTATTCACCTGATGAAAGAGTAAGTATATATTCTGAAACGTCTGTCCCTCAAAATAAAGAAGTTGACATCCATAAATTCTCTTCCTTATGTGTATCACTTTAAAATGCCATCCAACGATTTTGTTTGTTGTTTAATGCTGCACTCAGCATTATTCCTATCTACTGTAAATCTGGAAAATTTTGCACCATGAAATTACTCAAGTGGCCAACAATACCCTTAACTGAGTCTGGAAAGTTTTGCAACACCCTATTAACATTACAAAATATGAAAGCTACTGCTGCAGGTGTTCTATGTGATCAGTAGGAAGCGGCATTAGGAAATGCTAACTCAGTGTCAGTCAGTGATTTTTAAACTGTTGATACAGTTGACATGGGAGGTTGGGGAAGCTTGTTTATCGAATGAAGAGACTGGCTGGTGTCTGGATTACTCGAGGTTATGTCAACAACTAATTTGACTATTAACACTAAGTGACCATGTGTAATTGGGGAAACAGGATGCAAGGGATTTTTGTTTAATCATGTTCTGGCTAGCTTGACCACATGTGTGAAAGTGAATTCAAGAAATATGCCTCCTTTTTGCTTGTTGTTGGGTCTGCACAAGTATCTACATCATTAAACTATTGTGAGTGTGTGACGCTCACAAATTTTGCAGTACTTTCCTGCTACCAAAAATTACTAATTTACAGTTTATGATTGCAGTATGAAAATAATAAGGGTCTGGATCACTCAATCCAGTGACTGACGTCATGAGCATTATGGATCATGACTCATAATATCAATCACTGGATCATCTGGTCCAAACTTTATTATTTACAGGCCACCATGATATGGTTGGAATATTGGTGAGTGAGGTATTAAAGAACACACAAAGAATGACAGCTATCATGTTTTCAGGACTGGAGAGGATTAGGCACAAACCACAAGTGAGCTAAACATGGTAATGAGGACACATACCTATAATCAAAGAAGAGTTCTTCACCAGCCTGTATCGGGCGCTTAGCAAATATGCCAATACGATGGTCTCCATTAACCATCATCACCTTAGCATAGCAATTGGGATTGATGGAATGGTTGGCAAATCTTATCTTGTTGCCTTTTCTTGTAGCATCCACCACGAAATCTAGATTCAAACAAATTCAATAAAGTCAGCGACTTGGATGAAGGTACGTCTTCACACATACAGTTCTTATGACAATGCAGGAGTTATCTTGTATCTATGTCTCCATGTTAAGAACAACAGTCTGTTAAGTATTTCCACACTAAGCACTAGTTTTTGCTTCTTGATACAAGTATCGTATCACAGCCGCACACTAAAAGTATAAAATATTGATTCTTACCTTAAATGTTGAATACCTGTTACACTAAACACTACTTTGTTGTGACAGTTAATAGTGAAAACGTAAATAGTTTTGTCTGTTTTGCCATACTTAACACAGACAACTGCAAAGTGTCAGTGTGCCAGATATTTGGCAATCCTAGCTGTCAATGAAAAAGATGACAGGCCACAGATAAGAGCACATGCAAGTATCGTGAGAAAGGTATTGTGATACATATCGGATCGTGCAGTTGATGTATCGTCCCAGCCTACTAAGCACCCTGGTCCCATAAATGTTTCAAAGTTGAAACACATACATAAACTTGTCTCAATAAATAAAATCTCAAGTCTGTGATGACTGTGTCATGATTAAAAATACAGTTAGCATTTAAGGTTACAGTACTTATGTCATCAATGGCAACCCTCACATAATGCATAATGATTATCATAAGTTGGATAATAATATCATAACGTTCAGCATGGACGATGTCAGATTGTGCACTGGAACTGGCTATATCAGGGTGACCCAGATATCATAATATAACGATAAATGACCTCTTCGACGGAATCTCCCATAAAGTCACAACATTTGCCCTCTGGGTCCGCACCAGAAGCATAAACATGGCACAAACACTACTCCAGCAGGCACTACATAAAGTCCACACATGAATGGGGCTTCTCGTTAAACGCCAAAAAAAACCACTGGAGAAGTATTCAAACAAAAATATGTGCCCAACTACCCAAATTCCAAAAACAAACCAAATTCTTAGGACTTATCTTTGATGAGCATATCAAGTGGGATGCCCACATTAAAAGCCTGGTAATAAGATGCACAAAGGATCTAAACACCCATCATTCTCCCTACCTACATGTGTTTTTGAAAATCTATAATAATTCGTAATACCCTAACAACACACTAAATAAAAAATTAAATTCCATCCAATACCAAGCACTAAAAATAATTACTAAGACACAGTATGGCACGGTCCCCTTACAACACTACAAGCGAAATCCCCCTGGATCTACGCCGCGAACAATTAACTGTAAACTTCTGGGCCTGAACCTTATCAAACATAAGCCCAAAACACCAAGCGGTTGCCAGTAAACACCAGCCCTTAACCCCAATATCACATCACATGCTGGGCTACATAACTAACCACAAACGAAACAAGCTAAAACTAAACACAAAACCCGAAGTGTTCAGCAACGAACACACCAATCACACCTTAGCTAGCATTACAAACTCTCTCCTAAGCCCACTAAATGATACACAAACTGGTGACTCTCTCTCTCACCGAGGCTGATCTACTCATTTGTGACCCGTATTTTTGTATCATTATCTATTGGGTACTAAAGCAGTGAGTAGTTCGTTTTCTAGTGCTCAATTTTTGATAAATACATGCATCCCTTTTTTGAATTATGCGTTCAAGTTAATAGAGGTAGGGTATTTTTTATACTTAGTATTGATCAATCAGTCTGATACTGAGTACTGATTGATTAGAGTTTAGGATTATCTATTGTTATGATTGAATGTAAAACTCACCATTGTTGAGGTTAAAGAGAAAGCTGCACATGTATTTGTCATACACCTTCCCTCTTCTGTCAGCTTCGTCTTGTGATATTATCTGTGAAAATAATACTTACATGTACTGATATTCAAGTGAATGCCCTTCCTACAACACACAGACCACTCTAGGATATAACCATTTTATGATGTAACTATACAGACCCCCCCATTCATCTAAACGATACACACAGCCAACTCAATGCTGTAACTATACAGAAGTCCCTTCTCACAGTGGTAAATTCAATATTTTGACTGTGGGATACATGCAGTGTGAGGTAGGATAAGTTTAAATTGTTTACATTAAATTGTGTATTTATATTTATATACACGTACTTGTATAGGTGATCCATTTGTGTGGGTGGTGACCATGGTGACGCTAGGATGTGTTCAGGTGAATTGTTTTTAGAAGCTGGAAATTTTTGTTCAAGCACGTTTCCACATAGGATCGAAAGAAGAAGGAGAAATGCAAAGTGTGGGATAGGACAATATTAAAATTTAGTAACATTGAAAATACCACTAATGCTTCCATTTTATGAAATCACCACTTTCACAGCAAAATTCCATGTATGTTTTGAAATAAAAATGTTGGATATTTCGGATGGAACTCAATTACAAAAACATTCCATTTGTGATGACAAATGTTTGGGTTTTATCAACATGCTGCTTTTGGGATGCCTATTACATCACATATATTTGACACTCAGCTATGACACATACATCGCTGAATTTGACACACAAATTAGAGTCAAATGACATATTATCTCTGTCACTAATACAAGGGTCAAGGTTAAGGTCAAGGTAAAATAAATCACTTGGGAAAACAAATGTTGAGCTTTGAAAACCAAACTTGTTTGAAAATGTAAACAAAGCAAAATTGTGATGTTACATTGTGCAGCATTTTCTGAGCAATAAATGTAACTATTCGTAGCATATATTTGTTCAGGTTTTTTGAGAATATACATGGGAAGTGTATCGAAGCAAGAATTGGGGACTTAAACAAAAACATGGTAATTCAAAAGAATATGTTTTTGATTCATAAAAAAAACATATGCCCCCCTGCCACACACACACATTAGTTTCAGTTATTACTGTAAACGTGTATCAGTGCAGATTCTGATTAACGCATTTATGAAGCAGCATTCAGTTGATGCCACATTGACTCCTTATGGGAGATAAGACTATTGAACTAATAACAGCAGTTTGGATGATAGATTGTATTGTGCAAGTAGATGTATCCACAATGAACTATCAGTAGCTTTATGCTTAGGAGAAAGACTAGTTAGGAAGAATTTCCAAATTGTTTCAATGGAATCACAAGAAATAAAAAAATTATTAAAAAAAATAAATATATATATTAAAGGCAATAGTTGAGCATGTGGTCGCTGCACAGTTTCATGCCAAAATATTCACTAGTTTGAGAGTAATAGCTTTGGAAGTGAAGCCTTGAGTTGTTTGAGACTGGTTCCAAATGGTACCATTGAAATGTAACAAAATACAACGTTGAAAAATTTCAAAATAGCAAAAGGCACCAGTTAAATGGATGAGCAATGCCTGTATGCAATTTGCTGAAAAATGGTGAAAAAATTTCAAGTTATGGCTTTGGAAACAAACCCAAACCACATTTGAGACTAAGGCAAAATTGTTCTCATGGAAATATAAGAAAATAAAATTTACAGAAATTTCAAAATAGCAAAAGGCACCAGTAAAGCTGAAGTTTGTTTGTTTATTTGTTGCTTAACACATCACTCAGTAATATTCCAGCGTTCTGTAAATAATCGAATTGACCAGAGAATCCAGTGATTGATATCATGAGCGACATGAAACCATGCAGTCATACCATGTAAATTCCATATTTTTTTTTGTGCAGTGATAACATATATTTTCTACATGTCTTTTTATGTAGCAACCGAGTAGCCCCTAATATATTGCCAATGTTATTAATAAATATTTTCATGAATCCTATTTTTTTTTTGTTACTACACAAATTGTCCTTTAATGGTCTAGACGATTTGGCCCGGAGTGGTACTATCTGGATTGAAAGAGACCAACATGAATCCATGTAGTCATACCTTGTCCTTTAATGGTCTGGACGATTTGGCCCGGAGTGGTACTATCTGGATTGACAGAACCCAACATGAATCCATGTAGTCATACCATGTCCTTAAATGCTCTAAATGCTACTGTCGAACCCATTTGACAGGCTCATAGTCGAAGGACACCCCCAAATGAAACTCGCTACAACTGTTTAACTAGTAGGCTTTGCATATACTTTAAGTTATGTATGGTATGCATAAATGCTCAGTTTGCAAAACATTAAAACTTTCCGTAGTTTATTTACCTTGAAAGAAAGTATCGACCAAATTTATCTGCACACAACTACCAGAAACGTCCGTTGTTGACTTTTGGCACTTCACGTTGCAGTCTGATATTTTCTTTATACGATCATAATATTTTGTTTGTTTACAAAAGGAAAACACTCAAGTTCCTTAATTTCTAAAAATTAGCTAATTTCAATGTAATTAATTATTAACAAAAACAATCTGAATCGTAACATCATCGATGGGATGGAATTTGTATGGTCATGGCAACGGCGGTAAACAAACAACTCCACATGCATAGTGATCCCCTAAGCTTTAACAATACTTTTGTGCCATCTAACTTAATTTTCAAGAATTATTGACACGGATGTATAAATCTTTGTAAAAAAATGGCACATTTTTATAGAGTTTGCAAATGATTTGTTTGATACACTTTTAGACACATTGACATGCCGACCAACATCAGTGACACATTTGGGCGTGGCCTAACTCACGATTTGTTGAGTTGAACAAAGGCAACAAACACTGCAAATAATGACAAATATGAGATGATACGCAGAATCTGAACTGATATACATTTCCTGATTTCCTGAGGTTGATCTTCCACCCCGGCTGGTGTAGGAGCCGGAGGGTAAAGTCCCTGTGGCGGAGTAGAGTGACAGTGTCCCGATGGTCCAGCAGGCAGTTGTCTATGTACGCCTCGAACTCGATGTCCCAGCAATGGAGGTACGAGGCTATCGGCTTGGTAAGCCGTGTGAATAGCCACTGGGCCGAAGAAATTCCAAATGGGAGGACCGCCCATTGATAATGGACTCCCATGAAGATGAAGCGGAGATATTTCCGGTTGTCGGGATCTATAGGAACATGTAGGTAGGCGTCCTCGATATCCAGACTGATGAGTGCCTCCTGTGCCTGGATCCGGGATCGCAGTAGCCTGAGCATGGTCATCCTGAAATAAGGTGGACGCGCCAGGTAGCATTTGTTGAAAGCGGCGAGGTTGTGGATCATCCTGTGTTTGGCCCAGTCCTTCTAGGGGACAAGGAAGACAGGTGAGTAGAAGCCCCCGGTGTTATGGCTGGGACGTGTACAACCTCTTTCTTGTCTAGCAGTGCTGTGATGTTCCGGCTCATTAGCTGGAGGGTATGTGTCCACTATGGGGGAAGACGTAAGTGGCGGGCCGTCCATAAGCGTCAGCTTGTTTCCGTGTCGGATGATGTTGGTGACCTCTAGGCCGGGCGAGAGGTGATTGCCTCCAGTCTGTCTGCCAACCAGTCTGTGACTTGGTCAAAACCCAGGTTGGATTCGCCAGGGGTGTCGTCATAGCAAGGGATAAAGGCGCCCTCCAAGGAGTCGGATCGATAGCCACTGGAGCATCTGTGAACTTGGGAGCGGCTCCTAGATCTATGACCCTGTCAATAAGATCTGCTGTCACTCCAACGTGAAGACGTACATGGGGAAGCCGAGTCCACGGAGTGACGAGAGATAGAAGGCGTCTGTGAGGTTGGCCGACGCGGCGGAGGCAGAGGCGCGTCTGTATAGGCGCTGTGTAGATAGGCGCCAGCTGAAACGAGGAGGCGTCTGCAGAGGTGCTATAGGAGGCGCTTGTAGAGGCGTCTGTAAAGGCACTGGCATCGACGGCTGTCTGGCCTGTAAGTACTGAATGTACTGGAGGAGAGAGGCGTCTATGGTGGGCGTCTGTGGGAGACCGAGCGTCTGTCTGGGGGATAGTATAGGCGCTGTCTGGTAAGTGAGCGCCACGCTGGGCGTCAAGGTGGTCGCTGCCGTAAAGATAGACGCTGTTGTGGTTGTCAAAGTGCTCTGGGTGGAGACTGCGACCGTGGGGTCCGACATTAAGGTAGCAGTTGAGGTCGGGAGGAAGTCATCTGAGATGGCCGATCTCTGACATCGTGCACCGGTGTTTCCTGGCCTGCTGTGTTCTGCGTTACTTACACACACGGAGGTACTGACTGAAAGCTGTGGGTGAAAGCAGTAAACAGTCTTTGCATCGGTGACCCTGGAGGCATTGAGATGTACAATTAAGGCAAAGGGGGTGGGGATCCCACGACGACATATTACGCCGGCACTTTGAGCAGGAGGGCATGATATCTGCAATGAAGCAGTGTAAAATCACAATGCGTCCCCGCCAGATTATGTATGCTATAATTTGTTTATCCGACTGGGTGGGTTTATGAAACAAATATTATGACAAACGTAAGACAACATACAACAAAACAAACAATACTTGCGAGGATACACCAATCGTGGGGTACCAAGCAAAAAGAATATAGAACGCAAACCACTGAAACCAGTTCACTAACTGCTGGCTACGTAAAATATTTAAGATGGCTACTTGGAACAACAACACACCTGGCATTATGTTTTCATTTGAGAAAACGCCAGTAAGTGTCTAATAACGTTATGCACATGTTTATCAAACATAGAATGTACAAAATACAAACCGTAGGCACAACACAAAGACAAAAAACATTAACTCAGATAGCAAACACGTGAGGGTTTGAATCAGTTTATGCTACAACAAAAAACAGGTCTTCTCTCAGCAAGTGACAAGAGTAATGTAAGGATCCGTGACGTCATGTCCTTTGGTCACGTGGGAGCTGCGTGATGGGTTGGCCCATCAGCTAGTTGGAGCAACTTCTTCAAGCAAAGACCCTCACACAGCTCTTTTCTCTGTACAAGCAGTAATATGCATTAAGGAGTAATGCAGGATAAGTAAAAAATC